TCTCTCTCTCTCTCTCTCTCTCTCTCTCTCTCTCTCTCTCTCTCTCTCTCTCTCTCTCTCTCTCTCTCTCTCTCTCTCTCCTTACTTTTTCTGGGTTCACTCAAATGTCATGGGTCAGTTGTAACCATTCAAGCATGGAAGCCTCCTCAGCCACCACCGGCGGAAGCATCGAGACGCAGGCAGGTTATGCTTAGAGATCATTTCTGGGTCCAATTTGACAATCTGTCAGAGGGAATGCATAGCTTTGTCCAACAACGTCTGACAGAGGAATTTCCAAATAACCCAATCATAGAGTGGCTCCCTGCTAACCCGGATTTTCTTGCTCCCAATCATGATTCAAGGGTGGTATGTTTGGAGGTTAAATCGGGAGCTCCTCCGAAGTTCCTAGAGGTTTGGATCTTTCGGAGGCAGACAAAAAAAATTACTGTCTTTATTTCCACAAAAAACAATCCGTTTTGTTTTAAGTGTAGGGGCCGGGGTCATTTAGGGATGCACTGCCCGCAGTCTGGTTCGGGGTCAGGGGGCAGGCATACACAATTAAAGCAATCAATGCTGGTTGAATCGGACAACAAACCGGGGGTATGGTTCATCAATGCAGTACAATACAGGGGCTGGATCTTCGATGACAATTTGGACACTCCACGATGGGTTTGGGTTTTGCGCAGCGCACCAACGGTGAAACCGGATATCTACCCCCCATACGACAGTAGATGGAGTCAAATGGGAGCAAAACGGATGGTGGATAAGGATGTGGGATTTCTCACTAAGCCTATGATAGATGACGCCTCGTTGTTGGATGACAGGTAGAGGCTGCAGACTATGGCAGTTTTGCATAAGGTGGGTCAAGAAAGCGGAGCTGGCCTATTTGGAGAATAGAAGAGCAAGAGAAGAGGCTCAGAAGTCGGACGCGAACAGAGGTTCGGAGGAAAAAGGGGACAATGGTGAACAGGGAAGTGAGACTGGTTCAAGGAGTAAGGGAATAAGGGAGGAAGAGTTGGAAGGGAAAGGGGGAGAAGGGGTCACTGAAGGGGAAGGCAAGGGGGGAGAATCATCAGCCTCTCTCAAGAGGAAAATCAGTGACAGGGAATCGGAGAAGGGGTATAGTGCATATCAAGGGCCTAAGAGGACACAATCAGGGAAGGGAACAGATAAAACTTCCACTCAGGAAGAACAAGAGCATAAGGCTGATACGCTGGCAGAGGGTCAGGGGGAACAAGGATCTCAGAGGGAAGAAATGAACATCACAGATTCATCAGATGATACGTCAGCGGTAGCTTCAACGGGTCAGCAAACGGAACAAGGGACTTCGGCAGGCTCAACTAGCTCTACAAACAGACCTTCTTCTGACGATAAGGAAAACATAGAGGAGGACATGGGAAAAGGGGATAAGAAAGGATCAAGCAAAAAGTCACAAGAGTCAGATTCAGAGGTGGATGGGGACTCGGATGAGGACAGTAATGAGGAGGACGATGAGTGGGGGGAGGAAGAAGAGGAGGACGAACTGGAGACTCTTGCACAGTGGATCAAGCATGTACATAAGCTGAAGTGGGCAAGACACATCGAATGCGAGATCCGGCTGGCACACCACAAACATTTGCGCAATTTAAAGCAAGCCACGACAACAGGGGATGGCATCACAACAGTAAACACTGAAGGATGAGCAAGAGGTCAATGAGTTCTACGCTACGCAATACGGATGGAAGGCTAAGCTGGACAAGAATGACATCACGGTGCACAATGCGGGGTATACCAAACAGTTCACTTGGCCTAAGTCCTACCAGCCTCAGGGTATGAAGAGATCTGAACAGAAACGTAAGGCGCAACAGCAAGAAAGGGAGCATTTGAGGAGCAGTGATCAGGACTTGTCACATTCTGATCAGGGGCTAGGTGACATGGAACAGATGGAAGAGGAAAAGAGGCAGACAACGATTTTGGAGGCACAAGTAGACGTGCTCAAGGATCAGAAAAGGGAGTTGGAGGAAGACACTATAAATTTAAAGAAAATAGTTGATACCCCTCATGCTGACATCAATGCTGTTGCTAAATTGTACGCTAGACAAAACCCAGGCAAGAGAATCATTCTGCCTTACAAATGGAACATCGGCAACGCAGATGGGAAGTGGCCATCCAAAGATCGCTGGCACTAATAACAGTGAAAGACAGTTATTGCGAGAGGGATATTTTGAAGGAATGTATCACAAAAGATTTGCCTGCGCAGGCACACGTAATTGGAGATCTGGATTAGGACAGGGAGGAATGGGAAGAGGGGATGGGAACAACGCGCATGATGGACTACAAACCACTCATGATCAAGTTGAAGGAAAAAGCAGTATTGGCGGAGGGATTGATCCGGATGCCATGGCAAGTGGTGGAGACGATCCCGTTTGGGTTATTGGGAGGATTAGAGGCGGCAGAATGGGTGGCAATGGGAGCGGCTATAGTGACTCAATGTGACGTGTTTTCATGGCAGCCGGATTACATCGATGGAAAAATGGACATCCTGGCTACAACAGTAGAGTGGGCGGGGGTGGGTTCTTGAATATGTAGATTCAATGGGTTCTAAAGTATATCATAGCTCATGGAGGAGAGTTTGAGAGAGAGAGTGTATAAACGTAGAAGAGTGCCGGATAATTCAAAACGAAGGGAACCGGACCTTAGGGCCATGTCTTGGAACATCAATGGGATGGTACAAATACCGGATAACAAGGACAAGTGGAACAACGTTATGAGGTATTCAAACTGGTTTGGGAAGTCTCCCCCAAATTTTTTATGTTTGCAAGAAACTCACCTTACAGAGTCATCAGAGCATCAGAATATTCAACAGAATATAGTACGACAACTAAGGAGGGTTAAGGCAAGTTTTTGGGCAGTAGCGGGCAGGGCACACTCAGCAGATGTAATAATTTTACTGAATAGAAACTCGGTGGCGGCAGATAAAATAATAGTACAAGAGGTTGGTGTAGATGAAGATGACGGTCGGTGGATAAAGCTCAATTTTAAGTATCAGGATGAGCAATTTACGCTCTTTACAGTCTATTGTCCTAATAGGGGACATCAACGGTCTGAAATGATAGAGTCGCTACAAAATCGCATAGAGCCATCAAGGCATCTCATATTGGCAAGGGATTGGAACACTACTTTGGATCCTAGCAAGGATAAAATTCTAGGTGGAAGGTTAGGTTTGGGGGAAGGTGTGATGTGGGATGAAGCCCTACCTATTCATAACCTTATGGTGGCAGGGGACCTGGTAGACCCATTTAGACTTCAACAACCAGAAGGGAAACAATTCACGTATTTTAAAAGGAATTGCAGTCAACATATTTCAGCATCAAGGATAAACTATTTCCTCATATCGCAGGATACTATGGGAATACTACATTCGGTGGGTATAGGGGACTTACCATATTGTACGAGCTTAGATCATAAACCCATATTTCTTAACGTCATACTGGACAAACATGTCCATAGAGGAAAGAGTTTTTATAAGGTTAATAATTCGTTATTAAGAACCAAAGAGTTGAGGGAGGCTATTCTGCAAGTGTGTTTAACATAGTCCGGACACGCAATCTTTCGCGGACCTCTTGGAAGCCATGTCAGCAGCGACGACAATAGTAGCCAGGCAACTGGCAGGAAAACGGGTGGCAAGAGAAATAGAGTTGCAAAGGGCTTTGCGCATAGATGAAAGGAATCTAATTAATAACCCAGGTTCAGAGATGTACGAGAGAATAATAGAAACAACTAGAAATGAATTGGGAGACTGGGAGAGATGGAGGGGTAGAGGTCTGCAGATGAGAGCGAGAATGAAAGAATGGGAAGAGGGAGAAAAAATGACAAAGTATTTCTTTCAAAAGATCAAAGCAAGGGGAAGAAATAGGATAATAGAACAGTTGGAAGGCCCGCAAGGAGTTGTTGCGGATCCAGAAGGGATGCTCTCGGTGGCGCATGATTTCTATAGCACCTTATACACTTCAAGGGAAGGGGAACATACTTCTCAGCAATTGAAGGAAGTCAGAAATAAGTTTCTGTCATATTTGGAATGTACGGTGAAGAGAGAGCAAGCGGAAAAATTGGACGCCCCTTTGTCCCAGGAGGAATTGAGGGAAGCATTACAGTCTATGTCTCCTAACAAAACGTCGGGTAGGGATGGATTGACTAAGGAATTCTGGATGGAGTTTTGGCCTATCCTGGGTGGAGAATACGAATCCTTTCTCAATCAAGCCTGGCAGAAGGAGGGATTGGGGTTAGAGTCAGCGACAGGCATTGTTACTATGCAATATAAAAAGGGAGACCCGAAGGATATTAAAAATTATAGACCAATTACACTGTTGACCTTAACCCACAAGATTGTAGCTAAAGCACTAGCTAACCGCCTTAGGAAAGTTACAGAAGGCTGTTTTCACCTAGATCAAACGGGCTTCATTTTTGTTTATAATGGAAGCGATTGCATCGTTCCTCAGGAAAAACCCTTCCATAGATCGTCTCATAGCTGAACCGGATTACCAGGGAAGGGTGATACATCTACCGACAACGATCCTATTCGCGGATGATCTGACGGTACTAATTAGAGCAACAAATTCTTGATTTCAAGCTCTTACGAGAGCAATGGAGGCATTCCAGCTGGCATCGGAGATGAGAATCAACTGGCCTAAGACGCTGGGGTGGTGGTTATCACATGATGACCAACAATCACAGCCATGGCACCGGAAAGGATGACAAAAATGCTATTAAAATTGGCGACGTGGTCGGAAATACATACTTCATTCTTCGGGACAACACTACTATTAAATGCTTCCATCTTCTCCATGTTATGGTATGTGGGAACAATATGGACACCACCCACACATACACTACAAAAACTAAGGAGGGTAGCAACGACATATTTATGGACAGCAAATCCAATGAAACCGAATTTTATATCAAAGGTTGCATGGAATCAAATTATTCACCAAAAGACAAGGGAGGGCTGAGAGTCTTGGATCCGTGACAACAGATAAAGGTGCTCCAAACTAAGTGGATTATTAAGTTGTTTACACAGCCTCACCTACGATGGGTCCCATTGGTACTCGACCACATACATCCAATGGTCAGATATAAAACAGCTTCTAATGTGAAAGGTACATTCTGGCTATTTTGTAAGGGTTGGTCTAAGAAGGATAGAATGGGAGAACAAGCAATTGGGGAGGAACAGGAAGCAGATGAAGAATTTGCTAGGGGTACATATTGGGCGCAATTACTCAAAATATGGGCGAAAGTTTTCCCGACAAAAGTTAAAGAACCAAGGACGAAGGAGGAAGTGCTTAGACAACCGTTATTTTGTAACCCATGGTTAAAAGATACTCTGGGACGACCTAGATCACTAACAGCAAAGGATGCCAAGTGGGGAAAGTGGATAGAGCATGGGGTATGGCAGGTGAAACACCTCTGGTCGAATAGTAGGGGAGTTGGAAAACAGGTAGGGGGCTGAGGGGGGAAATGAAGGGTTGTCACAGACTAACTGAAAACTTGAATGACATTCTTGTCTCGATCCCGGACGAGTGGACAAGGATATTGAAGGAACCAGACAAATGGGGATCTGGGGATTGGGCAACATTAACCTCTACTAATGAGCCAGACGCAGCCTTTCGCATAAGGAAGGAGGTCAGACCCTCCAGCCAGTGGGTGGAAGCTGAGATGTTCAAAATCCAATATCCAGGAGTTACGGTCAGTGTACTGGATAAGGATTCGCAGGTCCCGATAGTAGTGAAGAAAAGCATCCTGAGAAAGATTAGAGTGGTGGAGAATGAAGATTTTACGATATTCGAGCCACTGGTATCTATAAGTGATTTGGAAGTTGATCCAGCAGAATGGGCATGGAACATCAAGGGAAGATCGTCAAGGGTAATCAGAAGATTTAATATACTTAAGTATTCCACTAAATTAGGCTATCGTCTGAGGGGGAGATCATGCCATTTGGACCACATATTGGCAACAAGATGGGAGAAGAAAGGGCATATACCAAGGGAACAGGTGGAAAAGTTACCATGGTCAACTTTACACAGTATCAGATTAGCCAAGGTCAGGAGTATGCAGTGGCTCATCTTTCATCTAGCACTTCCAGTCAATGTCTGGTTGTATGGCAGACGAAGCAGTTTCAATAGGAACGAAGAGGATCAAAACTGTGAAATGTGTATGGAGGGTGTGTAGGAAACTCTGATCCATTGTTTGTTGCACTGCCCGAAAGCAGAACATCTCTGGTCGCTAGCCTGTTCATTATGGTCACGCACTACGGAGCTTCCCTTCCCGAGAAATACGAAACTACTATTGATTGGAGTTGAGGTTCCTAAGGGATGGAGGGYGGGACATAAGTATATCTTTCAGCTACTAAGACARTATMCTCTATGGRCAATTTGGAAACGAAGATGTCAGAGGGTGGTAGGCAAGATTCTKATGACGAGAATGGAMGYTAGGGYGACCCTCTACAGTCTGCTRGAGACAKAGATTAGGGCGTTATGGTTAAGAACAAAGAAGCAAATGGCCTTTAACCCTGAAAGGGCAAAGGATACCTTAATCAAATTCCAGAATAGGGTACTGGGCCAAGGCAAAGTTGCTTCTATAGAAGGACAAAGACTTATTTTCCATTGGTTTAAAGAGGATCCCCAGGAGGAGGCGATGGATCGTCAGGGGGGCACACARGAACTTAGGCTGCCATAAAAATAKAGGTGAGGCAGGGTARGGAAGGATAATTCAAGTGGTTTAGGGTTTAAGGAATATAGGTATGTCAGGAAAGGATAAGTCAAGGGGTCTTTAAGGGTTTAAGGAATATAGGGTAGGAAGGGAGCATGATCTCATAGACTATAGATGACAGCAGTGCAGTAGCAGTGAAGGTCTGGGAAAGGGGCTTTTAAAAGGAAGGACGGTTCAAGAGGGTCATGATGGAGGTGGAATTAAAATAATTCTTCTTTGTTGTGCACTACAGGTGGTAGGTAGGCAGAAGAATGCAGAGTTAGATGGAGGTGGAATTAAAATCATTCTTCTTTGTTGTGCACTACAGGTGGTAGGTAGGCAGAAGAACGCAGAGTTAGCTTTGGAGAATCAGCACACCAAAAAATTTATCTGCTGGTCTTGGTACCGGTAAATCATGACTGCATTACAACCGACGGTTCAGGGTTTAAGGCTTACGCAGAAATAAGGCAAATAATGTGATAGAGGTATAGAGAGTTCAAAAGACTCATAAGTGTCCCAGAACGCTCTTGCATAACATATCTATCCGACAGCGTCATAGCTGAGAGGAGCAGAGCTGGGATCAGATAGATTGTCAAGCAGAGTTAGTACAGGCTAGCTTAGGCAGAGGTGAGAGGTGGTACATCCTTCCTCAGGGAAGTAATCAATGCTGCCCACTCGGGCCTCCTAGCCATAATGGGGAGGAGCGTGCGTGAGTCCTGTATGTATTCCATATTGACTTGCCGGGGGAATAGGAACTGGACTGTCGCTCCCCAGAATGGTAGGAACCAGAACCGAAAGTTGTCGGAGAATGCTTCTCGACACCTCCTGTCGAAAGTTGTTGAATCCCCAGCCTGCTACTACGATGCTTTCAACAGTCCTCGACTGCGCCATTGAGTTCTCTTCGAAATTCGGTGAGTGGGGGTAAGGTCGGGATGGACTTATGCTTGTCGTACCCTCACGCGCGTTTGTCTTTTCCTATCTTGCTTTCACAAGTGCGTCCACTCTACAGTGCTGTGTGGCTAAAGGGTGACAAACTGTCGAATGGAGGCTGTCGAATTTGTTCTGACAGCCGTCGAATTTTCTTGCCTTTCGACAGTGGTGTGGCGAGGCCCTAAGAGTTTATTAACCTGAGACTTGTCTTTTTTTTATTGCTAGTCTTCTCTGTATCGTTCCAGTTTTAACGCATGTCCCGAAGGACACAGACGTGTCTTCTCTTTTTTCCTTTTTCTTTCTCTGGATTCTTTTCATGGTCACTGACTCACTGTTCATTATTCAATACAGCGAACGGTGGAACTTGTGCCCAAGTTCCACAGGTGGCCTGATCCACTGCCCGACGCAAGTTCCACTATGCCCAGGACCGAGTTCCACTGGGCCTGGGCCGTCGCTTGGAGAACACGATCAGTGTTCGTTATTCAATTGTGAACAGGAGTCAGATAAATTGAGAGATAATTGAGAAAACATGGTCATGTGCCTTGTTTGGACACTCGGCTTCTCCCTCAATTCTTTTTTTTCTTTTTTTATTTTCTGGGGGGGGGGGGGGGGGGGGGGGGGGGGTGGCGGGGCGTGGTGCATTAACGCATTTCACCTGTATGCCAGTGGTCTCCAACCATTTTCTTTTTCTTTTTCCGAAACATCATACGGAAGGCCTTATGGTGAGAAAACCGCCAAAATGAAGGCCTGGCCTTGTTGATGACTCCATTCTACGTTTAGGGAGCAGCATGCACAAGAAACTGGTTTGCGGGTCCAACTAATACAACCGTACGAGCTCAGAGACCGTGAATACATCCTGGAAACCGGGTTCGGCATCCCAATGAAAGGAGTGGACCTTGAATGCCCTGGGCTCATGTATCAATAGGTCGATAGCTTCTATACTGGACGTCTTGTCTAGTTGACCAAGGGTATAATGCTCCCAACAAGCCCGACCAACCATGGATGAAGTGGATGATTAGCCAAGGTGTTGTACTTGGCGACTACGCAGTAACTCATGAAGACATTACTGCAGTGCATGTTACAGGGACTGTGACTGTGACTGTAGTTGAAGACATGTAAACTTGGTAAAGGAATAGAAGAACGGAGGAAGAGGAGACTGCATTGAAGACAAAGGATGCTGGGATTGCACCTTGCTAAGGGTAAACCGCAACCTTCGCTCGGTGAGGAGGTAATAGTTGACGGCAGCTATGGCTGGCCACCTAGGCAGAGCTTAGAGGCAGAGTGGCGACCCTGGCGAGGTGACAATGAGCACATGGCAGGCCTTTGCAAGTGATGGGAGTGCCATGTGATCAGTAGTTGAGAAGGGAGGAGAGCACCAAGATTGCAATTACCTTCAGCGGATGACAAAATGGACATGATTGGGCATTGGGAAGCCTCTGCACTTTTTATCTCCGGAGTCGAGCTGTGCTGGTGGGTTCATCTGGAGGACTTCTGAGTTATCTTCTGAGACGAGAGGTCCAAACTACTCTAGGGGCCTGAAAGATTCACAAAAAGACAAAAAGGGAAATGGGACAAAGGCAATTCGGCCACCGATGTACACCAGAACATTCCCCGTATGGCATATGAGTCCATAATAGTGTAGGCACAGGGCTGGAAAGAATGTGCTCTGCTTGTGTATGGACTGCACTTTTCATTTTAATATCCATTTTGACCAATCGTCAAGGCAACCTGTGGTGTATGTTAACTATGCTTGTTGTTAACATGCAAAGCCAGGTGTAAAACCTCTCACGAGTCCAGTCGGCTGCATTCTTCCTGCCTCTCAGTGGGAACTGCGAGAAGTTAAGCCAAAATGGACCTTCACCACAATTTGAGCGGTAGAATACGGATTGAGAGTTCTCAGTGGGAGGTGTACCGGGAGTCACGCGTGCACCGGTCTGGTAAGCGCTCACACAGCGCCAATTCGCGCGTAGAGGTCTCCAGGCAAAACGGGAAATCATTGTGCACGAACTTTCGCGCGCTTCAACCTTCAAATTTGAGGGGAGAAACAGGGGAGACAAAGGGTGGCACCACAACATGCCACGCCTTCGGGCGTGGCCACCCCAAGCTCATCATAGGACCATCCAACGTAAAGAGAGAGGAGGGAAGAAAGAAGGAGAAGGAAGATTGGAATGATTGAGCGAGAGTCCTAAGAGAAGGAAAGGACAAAACGAAGCAAGGATTGAGCAAGGGAAAGGACGACGAGAGGGATTGTGTCCAAAACATGGAAGAAGAACGGACACAACCGACACAAACAAGGAATCATTGCTTGCGGGAGCAATAAATGACAAAACAGTCGGGTGTGGCCAGCCCAAGCTAAGCATAGGGGCGTCAAGCGTAGGAGAGAGAACGGGAGGATAAAAAAGGAGGAGGAAACTTCGAATGATTGAGTGGGCGGGAAGCGGAGAACCCTAAGAAAGGACAAAAGCGGCAAGGATCGGGCAAGGGAAAGGAAGGCGAGAAGGATTTTTACAAGCAAGGAAGAACAACAAACAGAACAGACACGAACAGGGAAGCACTGCGCACTGAAAAGCACACGACATAACAGACTTGCGTCAGCATCATTGCACACCAGATTTGAACAGCTTCGAACTGACAATCTAGGTAAGATCAGTCAACGCCATTCAACCTCATCGGCTGGCACAGAGGACAGCGGAAGGACGAAAGGTCAAGCTCTTAAGAGGAAAGGAACAACGACAACGGAAGGCAACATCAAAAGGGGGAAAGAGACGGACCAGTACGAACCAAAGACTCATTTTATCAGGAAATAGATAGGTATTACCGCACACCCATACGTGGGCATCATGTTTCAATTGTCAAACATAATAGTAGGAATCGGGCATTAGTAAATAAGGAAGAAGAAGCTAACCAGCAAGATTCTCCCCGGGAGAACCCAACTTTCCCCGGCATCCCACCACCCATCAACGTGACATGACAAAATTAAACCAATCAATCTTTAAAATGCGATCGATCGAGAACTATTCATCAACATTCAGCTTTTGAAAGGAAATAAGTATAAAATTAGTTATTAACACAAGCAACACCGTGTCAAAGAGTCACAAAACTTGACAAGGAAACTAGATTGAAACCCATTCGTCTGTGTTCAATTCCAATTTCCATCTACTTTCATGTACTCAAGTCCTTGTTTGATCGAACAAACAATATGTCGTTGACCATCGAACCGCTAAGCAAGTTCCTTTTCTTCGTCAATGTGTTCCCTGCATCAGAGAAATTGCACTCAGTCTTCGAGCTCGATGCAGGCACACATAACACCGCACGAGCAGCCCGTGCCATAATAGGCAAAGGAGGACGCAATATCTGAAGATCCTCCGTTGTGACTGCCATCCCTTTGGCTTTCCACCAGAGAAGGAGGTCGAAAGTCCGTTTCTCCTCCTTTGTCAACTTCAGAGCGAAATAATATTCAAGCTCTTTTTGAATCCTCTCAGGTGTGCTCATTTTCAAGGTCTCATCCCTTCTTGGTGTCTCAGCATCCTCCTCATCAGAGCTACACATCCCCGGTCTTCCCCTTCTTCTTTTCGTTGGACGCTCCTTAACAACCTCGACCTTGAGCACGTTTGGTTCAATGTCAACACTCGGGGCAATACTTTGCATGATTGCCTTCAATTGATTCTTCCCTCGTTTCACTTGCACGAATGAAACTTCAAATATCTCAAGCCTGTCCTTCTGACGAGGATCAAGCAAGGCAGCAACGACATGCAAATCTTCCAACGGCCACTTCTCCGTTATCGTATCTTTGATTAACCTCTTGATGGCTGCGATGTTGTCTGAATGTGGTGGAGTGACCACTTCCTTTCCCACTTCATCTACGTCTCGCACAGGCTCTGTGCAAGTCTCGCAATGTTGGACCAACTTGTTTCTCTCGTAGACCACGCAATGAAGAGCAGGCTGAAGATAACTCTCAAGTTTTAAAGTGGCCTCTTCAAAACGATCAAGAAAACGTATTAGTTCCTCTAACAACTCCTTGTTGATTTGTGCAATCAAAAAAGCCCTTGCGCCACCTTTGCTCATCAAGAGATTCGAAACTTCCTCATAACTTTTGTTGACACTCTTGAGCATACGCAATAACGAATTCCATCGTGTCGCGTTTTCTTGCTTTAGCGTATTTTTCAACGCCCTTTGCAGGTTAGACTGCTTGACGTGTCGAACAAGTTCCTTGGAATTATCAATGAGCTCAAATACCTCTGGTGCGGCGTCCTCAAATTTATAAAAAGGTGCCGACTTGATACCGTTTGTCGAGGTTGTGGTCTTGTTGAGCACAGTGGTCAACACCGTCGCAATCTTGTGATCGTTGCACGGCAACCATTTGAAATTACTACGAATACCCTCACCACCGCACATGTTCGATCCACTATCTGAACACACTACACACCTTTCGTTTTCATCACACCCGAAGTCCCGAAGACATTCCTTGAATGTTTTCAGGACACGGACAACGGTATGTGATTCATCGTGCATCGGCTGCACTTGAAGTGTCCGTACGTGCAGTTTGAAAGCGTCGTCGATATAGTGGATTGTGATGGACATGAAAGACGTTCTCTTGATCGAGTCGGTCCACAGGTCAACTGTGAACCCTGCATGCATCTTATCGGCAAAGTGTTCTTTCAACTTTGCTTTGACAACATCGCGGAGTGATTCAGCATTGCCTATCACCTGACGCTTAACTGTGAAGCGTGAGGGAATCAAATCATCTACTTTCATGCCCCTACCAACACTAATCCCGATGTCAAGAATAACTTGCGAGTACCGACGGAACCCTGGGTCCTCTACGATGGAAAATGGTCTCAGATCCTCACAACACATCATCGCAGCTGCCCTTGCCACTTGTCTCTTTTGCGACGTGGTCGGTTGGACCGTTGTTGCAAATAGACGCATTGAGCCGACATCGGCTGCCACTAGCCGACATCTGTGGCCGTTCAGTGAGCTGGTACCATGACGCATTTCGTATGCGTAAACTGCGTGGCACTTCGTACAAGCCACATAACCTGTGTCAAACTCAGTGTGCTGTTGAAATACAGACCTCAGTTCAAGATGAAATTTCACTTCTTTGCCTGGTGACTGCAGGAAGAAAAACCTGAAACTGTAATTGTTTCAAAACGGCCTGACTTCAGTCAAGCTCGTTGGAACAGTTGAAATAGAAACCAGAGCTCAGATCAAGATGGAACTGCGGTTACTGCATAAATACAGACTTCATTCAAGCTCGTTGTTTCCAGACAGACTCGTTGGAACAGTTGAAATACAGACCAGATTTCTCTGTGTGCAATCACCAGGCAAAGAATGGAAGTTCGGCCCTCCCTTTCCGGAAAAAAAAAAAAAGGAAACAAAGAAAAAAAAGGCCTGACCTCATTCAAGCTCATTGGAACAACTGAAGTCTTCTTTACTACACGAATGAGCACCACCAAAAAAATAAAAAATAAAAAAAAATCGTCATGTTGAAAAACTGTTTGATTTGAATTTCCTACTGAAGTCTGGTGAGGCCAGGCCGTGAGATAGCAGCTGAACCGAGTGAGTGGCATTACCTGTGCAAAACGTACAGCACCAAACTGTATCGGCAGCGCGGCTGCCCCCGAGCCTAGCAACCAGACCTTGCCTCTGGCTCCTACCTCCTTCCCCCGAATACAACGAACAGTGATTATAGCTGTATTTGGGGTATCTTTCAGTCTAAACAGTACAGCTATAAATACCCGTGCGTTGTATTCGGGGGAAGCAGGTAGTGCAGCCCGCCGCGAAGGAGTGGCATTACCTGTTCGCTTTGCCCGCTATCTGCCATACTTTTTTTTTTTTTCCTCTTAATCCGCCATAGTACACATAGAGCAGCGAGAGGATGAAATAGATGAGGAAAAATTTAAACAAAGTGGATTGAGAGAAAAAAAATATAGATTAATGACCAAAAAAAAATCGTAGCCCGGTTCTTCAGGTCATCCGTTTCGAATTGGAGGGATGCAGAGAACAATTGAAAGAGCCCGTGCTGTCCTTCAGGACATCCGTTAAATAAAATTGGAACGATACAAGAGAAGATCACCATGGCCCCTGCGCAAGGATGACAAGCACAAATCGAGAAATGGTCCAAAAAAAAAAAAAAAAAAAAAAAGCCCGTGCCTCGCCATAGAGCTCAGGCCGATTCCTACCAGTTGCATTAAAAAAAAAGAAGAGGATGCCCGTCCGCAACAGCGGCGGAACCAAGAGCTGGGGAAGACAAAAAAACAAAATTGTAATTCCACTCTCTCTCTCTCTCTCCCTCTCTCTCTCTCTCTCTCTCTCTCTCTCTCTCTCTCTCTCTCTCTCTCTCTCTCTCTCT